CTTCCAGCTCTACTCTACTCTTCTCTACTCCTATTCTATTCTATTCTATTCTATTCTATTCTATTCTATTCTATTCTATTCTTTTTTTCTTTTTGGAAACCTCACCTGCAGATACAGTATATGTGGAGAAAAGGAAGGCAGGGCCTATTATAATTAGGAAGAATTTTGTAGTGGAATCTCCACCTGACTGGAGAGAGGTTTTAAATCAGGGCTAGGCTTAGAGTTCTTCCACTCCAGAAAGTGGCACAGGCCTGACCTCCCCCAGAAGCCCTGAAGCTTTATCCGACCATTCCCAAGCGAATGTAGTCAGCCTGATGAGGTTCTTGTAACATAGGTGACTAACATTAAAGCTTCAGCTTGAGACTATCCACGATTGGTTTTGGTTGCTTGCAGTTGACAAGCTTATAGAGAAGAACAATTAATACTTAATAGCTGTTGGGTGACCCTTTTCTTCCTAGGAGAAAAAATTACTAATACTGACAAATATAGAAAAGTGGCAAATAAGCACACACACACACCCTTTCCCCCACTAAATGAAATAACGTATGTTGAGGTCTGCTCTCCTTCACGTTGTTAGAAGCATGAAGAGAGGCTGGGGTCAAAATAACATTAGTGCAGTGATTGTCAACCTGTGGGTCGGGACCCCATTTGGAGTTGAACGACCATTTCACGGGGGTCGCCAAACAATGCAGTCCGCCATTTTTTCCCCCTTTTCCTTAGCTGTGCTACTCCCTCTTATTCTATTGGCTTTTGAAAGCCAATAGAATAGACTCTCTTGAATAGAGTCTAATTCTATTGGCTTTCAAAAGCCAATAGGAATTGTCCAGGCTGTCTCTGCCCTGCTGAGCCCGCCAAAAGTCCCATTCTGCAAACGGTGCTGCACCAGTTGAGTAGTCCTCGACTTACCACCGGTTGAGTAGTCTTCGACTTACGACCGGTTGGGGGTCGCGGCATTAAAAAGGTTGAGAACCACTGCATTAGTGAGTCTCATAAGAGTCAGGATTAGTCACTTCAGAGTCCATCAGATCAGGATGGTTAAATCCATGGAAAAAACATGGATTCCTATTTTAAAGTGCAGGGCTATACGTCTTCTAATAGCTTATTTGTTTGTATCCCACTTTTATTTGTTTGGTTATTTTTTTGTATCCCGTTTTTTATTATTTTTACAAATAATGCAAGGTGGCTAACATATCCAAAGCACCTTCCTCCTATTTTACCCACAATAACAACCCCCTAGGTAGATGGGGCTGAGAGAGAGTGATCAGCCCAAGGTCAATGTTTCCAACACTGTTGATAAGTTTCATCAATACAATTGCCCAAAGTCACACTTTAGGTGAGGCAGAACCTCCAAATATCATAGAGTAATTAAAAAGAAACAAACAATGGAATGGACTAGGGCAGTGGTGGTGAACCTATGGCAAGCATGCTAGAGGTGGCACTCAGAGACCTCTCTGTGGGCACTTGCGCCGTTGCCTCAGCCCCATCTCCCCCGTAGCCCCCTCCTCACCAGCAGCCCCCCCGGAGGAGAGCCGCTCCCAAGTGCAGCCCACATGGAGCAGCACAGCCAAGGACATGGTAGCTGGGCAATAGGGACAAGACTCCGCCATCGTGCCCCATTGCGCCCAATTGATGCTGCAGGGTGTGGGCGGAGGGGGGGCTGCCATGGCACTGCTGGGCCATCTGGGTGATATGCGGCAGGCCATGGAGGTGGTGGGTGGCCCTGTGGGCGGGCAGGGCGGAGTGGGGGTGGGGCAGGCCCGGGTTTTGGGCACTCAGTCTCTAAAAGGTTCGCCATCACTGGACTAGGGAGATCATGAATCTGAAATTAAATTAAGGAAATTAATTGCCGATGGGAAGAAAAATAGATTGTTTCAAACAAAAAATAACTAATGGACTTCCCATGGCAAAAGAAAGCAGCTATGAAGCCAGCTTTCCATCGTTGTGTTCCTTTCTTCTTTCACTAAATGGGCTTTACCCTGCACAAAGAAGAGAAAATGAGAAGTGAGGTCTACAGAATTTCCTAGAGATTTCCAAAGACTTGGTTTCAAGTATGAGCAGGCGACAGAAACAGGTGCGACTGCTGTAAAAAGTCTAATTTCATATTGTAACCAAGAACTTAAGATGAGGGGGTTTTCCCCATAACACACATTAAAAACAGAGTCAGGGTATCAACCACCTTGATATTTTTGATGACCCCAGCTCCCCATGGATTTAATCATTTTGCTGAAGGAAGAAATTCATAACTGCAAGACTTCCTCAATCTGATGTCTTTGGGAAATGCTGGACTAAATGGCCCATAATCCTTAGCCGGAGTCAGAAAATATATACAAAGTTTTAATTTTAAAATGATCTGAAACTCCTGCATTGAACAAAAACCTGGACAGGAAGGTTACCTCACTTTTCCTTTCTTCATTGCAGACAGTGTTTCTCAACCTTAGAAACCTTACTCTCTGTGGACTTCAACTCCCAGAATTCCCAGTCAGCATGCTGGCTGGGGAATTCTGAGAATTGAAGTCCAAACAGCTTAAAGTTGCTGAGGTTGAGAAACACTGTCTGCAGATATTTCCTGTTCCTATCACTGCCAGACAGAATTGGCAGAGCTGAGATGCCTTTTCATTTTGCAAAGATTAGGAAGAAGCACAGTGAAATTTTCTGAGCCTTCCTATGGTCCTAGAAGGGGAGTTTTTGAATTTCCAAATTAATTCAGAGTTTGGGAGACTTCCCGGTTTTGAGACTTATTCAGAATTGTTTTGCATAGAAGTCCCAAAGGTGCTTTTTCACAAGGCAACTGGACTTCCTTGTTCCTTGAAGATGTTTTGCTTCTCATCCAAGAAGCTTCTTCAGCTCTGACTGGATGATGGGGAATGGAAGGATTTTACTCCTTATAGGGAGCTGGTCATTTGCATTCTTTTAGAGAGTCATTGATACCACCTGGATGGTGCAAGTGGATGTGGAGCCTTCTTGTAACTGCTGAAAGGAGTGCATTGTAAACTGGAGATAGATGATGTCAAATCCCTCCCTGTTGAGAGAGGGCTGTTCAATTTTGACATAAATGGCCTCTTTGACCCTTCTTTCAAATCAGCGGTCCTCTCTGCCCAAAATGTGGACTTTGCTTTGTTTTTTAAATGCAGATGGACTGCTGACTCTTGACCTGTTGGGTTTGTTCTCCCATGTTGTGCCATGCATCACATTTTGCACAGAAGAGAACCATTCGAGAAGAGTCCTGTAAATGCTTTCTTTAGGATCCTGAATTTGTTTCCAGAACTACAGCTCCCAGCAATCCTGGGCAAAGTTCATGGCACAGTCACCAGTGAGATGCAGAAATAAGTAGTAATACAGTATATACTGCAATGGTACTGTATGTGGGAAAGGCTTTGGGGGAGTACACAAAGAAATGCTGCCAAGCCAACAGTTAGATAAGAGACAGCATGCCTTGCAACTGGATAGCTGATGGAATAGGACAGTGATGGCGAACCTTTTAGAGACTGAGTGCCCAAACTGCAACCCAAAACTCACTTATTTATCGCCGGGTGCCAGGTGGGCGCAACCCACTGGGTGGGCGTGGCTGTGATGGTCATGGCAGATTGGGTGGGTGTGGCCAAGGTGGGTGTGTTGATGTTGCTCATGGGGAGGGATGCCTGTGGGGGCCGGGCAGGGTTGGGGGAGATCCAGGGGGTCTCTGGCAGGTGGGGTGGAGGCTCATCCTGCGGGGTGAGGTGAGGCAAGGCAGAGATGCCTTTGTCACAGGGTAAGGTGAGGCAGGGGCTGGGGCGGCTGCTGCCTGACACCATCAGTCCCTGCACACAAAGGCCAGCAAGCGCATGGGTGCTGAGATGCATCCAGCCATGTGGGACCTCGGCAAGTTAGTGGGTGGCTGGTTGAAGAGGGACGGTTGCCATCTCCGGGACATGGCGCGCGTGCCCACAGAGAGGGCTTTGAGTCCCGGCTTTGGCACGTGTGCCATAGGTTCGCCACCACTGGGATAGGAGGTTCAGAGAAGATCCTCCCTATTTCCTCAGGCTATAAAGGAGACAAGGGAAGGACTGTATTTTCAGAATTGCAAGATTCTGTCAATGTAGGCAGAATAAATTAAAATTAGCTCACCTGCATGTGATTCCTATCTGGTTTATCCCATGAGGCTGACATATGCTAGTTGGTAGCCGCTAGAATGTTGAAAACAAAAGATTGCTGATTTAGAGGATTAATGGTTTTAGGGTATTTTCACAATTATTGCAATGACAAACTTGCATTTGTTCCTTATTTGCTGCACGTAGTCTCACAAGTACCAAGCAGAAAATTATATTAAATTATATTTTCTGCTTAGTACTTGGACAATAGATTCCCGATAACGATAATGATTCCAGTGGAGAATTTGGTTGTATCTATATTAGTGGACAATAGAGGACATAAGCCAGTTGGATATTTTTAACACCTCAAGGTACAATGTACTTATTTAGAAGATCTGTTGATATAGTAAACTTTACTTCTAAATAGAGAGAAATCTTCAGGAAAAGGATTGCACAGTTGATTAAGTAATCTCTTTCAAGCAAAGATCAACTACAGGTAGCCATTGACTTACCACAATTCATTCAGTGACTGTTCAAAGTTGCAATGGCACTGAAAAAAGTGAATTATAACCATTTTTTCACACAATCGTTGCAGCATCCCGATGGTCACATAATTAAAATTCGGATGCTTGGCAGCTGAATCATATTTATAACGGGTCCCAGGGTCCCAGGGTCATGTGATCACCTTTTGCAATCTTATGACAAGTAAAGTCAATAGGAAAACCAGATTCAATTAACAACTGCAGTGTTTCATTTAACAACGCTGGCAAGAAATGTCATAAAACAGGGCAAAACTCACTTAACTGTCTTGCTTAACAACAGAAATTTTGGACACAACTGTAGTCGTAAGTCAAGGACTACCTGTACTAAAATTCACCCAGCTAGACTGACAGTTCTCTCTTCTCTTTCTCTTTTGGTAACATTAAACTGTAGATTTGGAAAGGTCCACAAGGATTATCCAGGATTATCCACTTCAACACTCTGGAATGTGCAGGCAGACCAATAAAGTCATCCATGAAAGGTGATTCTCCAGCCTTTTCTTAAAACCTTTAAAGATGGAGAATCCACACTCTCCATAAGTAGACCATTTCACCCTTATGCTCATGGTCTTCAAGGATTCAATATGTACATTTGGACGCTGGATTATGTGCATTGTCAGCAAACTATTATATCAATTGGCTGCCCTTGAAGAGTATCTGGAAGCTTCATCTCGTTAAAATAAGGCAGTCTGGACAATTATGTTTTTCTTGCAAGTTACATTGGTTGCCAGTCTGCTTCTGGGTTCAATTCAAGGTGCTGTTTTTGACTTTTGAAGTCCTACATGACATGAGGCCATGTTATTTTAGGGACCACCTCTTCTCAAATATATCTATCCATCCCATTAGATCTGGCAAGACAGATATATTACAGGTCCCATCTGCTAAGGAGACCCTTATCTGTCATAGTGCCCACCCCTGAATATTCCTTTTTTTCTCCCCCAGAGTGAGAGCCAAACCTATTGGCCTTCCAGAAATCTCTTAAAGCAGGGGTATCAAACTCAATTTCATTGAGGGCCACATCAGCATTGCAGTTCCCCTCAGGGGGCTGAGTGGGTGTGGCCAGGGTGGGTGTGGCCTACTGGAGGGATGGAGGGGTGTGACTTACTGGGTGGGTGTGGCCAGCCCTACATCATTCCCATCAAGGGGTCTGTGGGGGCCTGGGCAGGAGTGGGACAGATCTGGGTCTCTGGCAGAAGGAGGTGAGACCAGGGCAAGTGCCAAGGCATGGTCCACTGGAGGAGCCTCACTGTTCCTCTCAGGCCATGCGGGGGGGGGGGCTTATGGAGCTAAGACTGAATGTGTTTCAGTATAGATGACCACCACAAAATTGTACATTGGCTCCCAGCTGGCCTGGGCCAGGGTCAAGGCCGAGGGGGCCGTTCCCTCACTGTTTCATGTGGCTTCGCGGGCCACATGAAACCACTTTGCAGGTGGCATCCGGCCCCTGGGCCTTGTGTTTGACATGTCTGTCTTAAAACATAGCTTTTTCAGCTGGCTTGGGAATCCTATGGAAATAGGGATCCTGCAAGATAGTGGTATTATATGTGAGATTTTGGTGTATTCTCCCATGAGAATATTTATATTTTATGTTACTTATATTTTATGTTAATTGTTTTTATTAGTTAGTTGAGATCTGTTTTAATCATTTATTTTATTGCATTTTGACCAGAGTTACACCAGTGAGATGGGTAGTTAGACTGATAAATAAATACACATGGAAGTAGCTGGATAACATAAAAATGAAATATGAGACTAAAGCTCCAGTAAATCAGCTCTCAAATGTATTTCCTATCCAGGTTTACTTGACACTTTATTTATTTATGTGTATTTTCTTTTTACAGCAGTCAAAAATCTTATTCTAGGACTTTTAATATAGCCATAATTTAAATATTACGCCTCCACTGAGCTTTCTGAATATGTATTTTTATTTCTGTTATTTTACTTTTTAGCTGCTTAAATATGATTACTAGTTTCATATTCAGATTTTTAGCTGTGGTTTTTAGTTTCAGTGATTATATGATGGAATGGAAACTTTTTTTCTAAATCAAAAAATATGTTTTGTATTACTAGCCTTCATGGTTAGTATGAAGGCTAAAATATGCTAGCGTTGGGTTTGATTTGCTTCTGTGAATGAACACAATAAACACAATAAATTTGGCACAACATTTTATAAAATAAATAAAGTCTCCTTGAAAAGGCAAATATTTTAAAAAGGAGAAGACCTATGTGAAGATTTTAAGCTAGCATCAGCATATAAAGTTGAAAGTCACAATGTGCTTTGCCCTTGTCAGTATGTGATAAGCTATTTGAAGTATTTCTCAATTATTAGTTGCACAGTAAATGCACAAAGTGCTAAGTTGAAAAGTTCACTAGAGATAACTTATTGGAATGGGGTGGTTCAGTGACAAAATTGAGGACTGTCTTCAAGCCATTTCCCTTCTATGTCCTCCATATGGGTGGCAGGCGAAGGCTCTCTCTACTTTAACTTGACACATATGCAGCGTGCAATTATTTTAAGAGTGGGAGAAAAAAGTCCATGGCCAGTTTTACATGCTATCCAAGATTTTATACATCTCAGTAATATTCTCCTCCAACCCACTTGCCCCCCCTTTTTTTTACAAGTTAAATTCCAGTCATTCCAGTTTTTTCTCATAAATTATGTCCACTGGTCATTTTGATTGCCTTCTTTTGCACTTTTTTCCGCTCTGCTATGTTCTTTTTCTAAAAATGTGCTGGCCCAGTTTGCATAATAGCCACATAATGTTTTATTTTCTGTCCCTTTCTTTAAGGATATCTAACACTATTAAGCCATGTTCCTGGATTTTTCTGACATTATTGGATATAGTTTTGTATTTTGAAAAAGTATTTGGCCCCTTTGGGGTTTTCGGTATTTTGTTCATCTTTGCTGTGGAACGTTAGCTGGCCTTCATGCTGACCCTACTGCAATCTACACTTGAATAAACAAATGACACATGGAAGAAAAACAGAGTTCAACTCTGAGAAAAAGGATAGTAAATTTATTATGCAAATCATCAGTTGCAAAACCTTTGATTCCAAATTGTAAAGAAAGTGGAGCATTGTTCCAGTAAAAAGGTAAGTTTATTAGAGAATTGACCCAAAGATCTTTTCCAAAGGGTAGCTGGACTTTTCTTGGGGTTTTTTGGAAAACATTTTGCTTCTCATCCAAGAAGCTTCTTCGGGATTTCTTGGATGAGAACTGAAATGAGTTTTTTTTTAAAAAAAAGTCCAACTGCCTTTTGGAAAAGCACCTTTGGGACAACCATGACCTGGACCATTGGGAATCTCCATAGACACTAGAGAATTGAATTCCTGGTATAGATAATTCAATTGGTTGTCATCTTCATAGGCTTTCGGTTTATTTGTTGGTTAATTGTTGCCTTAACAGTTCATAGAAAGACTTGCTTTTTCCAGGAACTGGGCATAAACAGAAGTGAAAATGTTCCTGAACTATCACTTTTTGTGGTTGGCTTCATGCTTATGGCTTATTTTCTGTTGTCATTTTTTGGGAAAAAAATGTTATTTAATCTTAAGTTCATTCAGTCAAGGGCAGTCTTTTTTAGAAATTGGTGTCGCACTGGCAGTCCTATAGTTCTTTAACAGTGAACCTGATATTTGTGTTAGGAGGATAGCAATTTTATATCTAATGATTTAAATTATTGGGTGGATGCTGTCAGGATCTATAGAATAAAAGAAATGAACCAGATGGTTGGGGTGACTGGATGAGTGATTGAGAAAATGAACATCTAGATCAGACATGTCAAACACAAGGCCCAGGGACCGGATGCGGCCCGCAAAATGGTTTCATGTGGCCCGCGAAGCCATCCTGGAAACAGTAAGGAACGGCCCCCTCTGCCTTGGCCCTGGCCCAGGCCGGCTGGGAACCAATGTACAATTTTGCGGTGGCCATCTATGCTGAAAGGCATTCAGTCTTAGCTCCACAAGGCCATGTAGAAACAGTGAGGAACCAGCTCCTGCTGTGTCGCCCCCGTCCCCTGGGTGCATGTGGAGAGGTGTCACCCTTTGCAAGGAATGAAGAAATGGACCATGCCTTGGCACTTGCCCCAGTCCCACCCCCTTCTGTCAGAGACCCTCAGATCTGTCCCACTCCTGCCCAGGCCCCCACAGCCATCCTTGACATGAACGATGTAGAGCTGGCCATGCCCACCCAGTAGGCCACACCCACTCCATCCACGCCCACCCAATAGGCCGCACCCACCCAGCCCCCCCCCCGAGAGCAACCGCAATGCTGATGTGGCCCTCAATGAAATTGAGTTTGACACCCCTGATCTAGATGGCCATACTCCTACCCTGAGGATTTGAATGGGGCTTAATGAGCTGTAGACACCACCTTGGAGAGGTGGACATCCTTACACCAATTCTCAGTAAAAAGAAGTGAATTTACAATCTGCCATACTCAGGGGATTTTTGAGATTTTCCATATTTCCAGACAAGTATGAAAGTGGGAACTAGTGGCCAGCTTCAACATCTTGGGACTTTTTAACATAAGATTCTGGTTTGTAGTGTCTGTGAATAATATAAGTCACATTGGACTTTCCTACCTACCAGCCTTACAAAGAAGACAGGGGAAGTTGATGTGAAAAGTCATAACCAGAAAGAGAAGACTTACTTATCCCTTATAGTTTCTCAATCACAGTTCTCTTACTCACACAAATGAAATAGTAGAAGAATTCAAATTTACAAAGTGAAAGGAAGAGGGAATTACAATAAAGATGTTTGTTACATTTTCAGTCTGAGCTTAACAGTGAATGACATCAACTTTGTTCATGGTGAAATGTCAGTTTTTGAACACTCCCCTCTACATAGTTCATCATCATTACATCATCATCATCACCACCACTACCACCACCATCATCAAGCAACTTTTGCCTTAGTGATATCTCCAATTCTTATTCCAAAAAGATCACTAGTTAATTAACCAAGTATTCCGACTGGTCCAAAGAGATTACAGTAATGTTTGTGAGGCAAGAGCTCCAGATTTCCTGAACTTGGTGCTCGCCAGATACGTTGAAAATTACAAATCCCAGAATTCCCGAACAGCAAACCCAACCCCCATATTCATTGGGAAAACTGGGAATTGTAGTTCAATACATCTGAAAGGCACTCAGGTTGCTTCTGCATAGGAAGATCACAATAAATCTGGTAATAGGCTGACATTTTTGGTAAAAGGTATGAAACTTTTGTGAAGACTTCATCAGATGCATGGAATGGCTAAGCTGGTGTAGGATTTAAACTGGGATGAAGTGAAGGGAGAATGGATTGGGAGGGCAGAGTGGCTATGTAAAATGCAGGTATTCATTCAATTTTTATTCCATCTTTGTTACTTTATAGGTAACAAAGGTGGGAAACATACTTAAAACTCCTTCCTTCTCCTGTTTTCCCAATTGCCCTGTCACCCAGGTTGGGCTGAGAGAGAGTAACTGGCCCAAAATCACCCAGCCAGCTTAAGAAAGATTACAAGTATGTTGTCAATTAATTGTTCAGACTTTCTGATGACCTGAAACCTTTTGATGTATGCAAACTCAGAAGTTTATCACTCAGTGGTGCTTATAAATTTTCTTTATTCCCAAAAGTCTACGTTGAGGTATATAATGGAATGTTCTGGGAAGTTAAAATGCTCTATTATTTTGCCCTCATTCTGAATTCTGATTTCAAACTTGGACTCAATTCTTTTTTGTAAACTCTTGTCTCTTTGTCCCAGCAGAATCCAGGGGATCATCGCTGGCAGATAATGGTTTATATCTGGATCATTGTAATGTGCTCTCTCTGGGGCTACCTTTGAGGAGTATTCAGAAGATAAAATTGGTTCAGAACCCTGCTGTATGAACAGTTCTGGAGACCCCTAGGGTGGCACATGCAACAATGCAAACTGCACTGGCTACCGATCTGCTTCTGGGTCGAATTCAAGCTGTTGGTTGTTACTTTTAAAACCATTTATGGGTCCAGGATACCTGACGAACCATCTATTCCAGGGGTCTCCAACCCCCAGGCCATGGCTTACTACAGTTCAAAACTGGGTTGTGGGAGAAATGGGCAACTGCATATGCATGAAGCTCCATTTGCGTGAGCAGCAGAAAACCGCGCGCACCCACATGAAGCTCCACTCGTGACTGGAGGGTGCCCTCTGCTCATGTGAGTGAAACTTCACGCTTGAGCACAAGCACCCTCTGCTCACACATGAAGTTCCATTTCTGTGAGGGCATGCATGTGCACCACTCAAATGGAGCTCTAGGCACGCGAGAGCACCTGACACACACACACACACACACACACTGCACTAGGCTGCCAAGCTGGAAAGATTGGGGACTGCTGATTTAACCCAATGGGACTGACTCATCCCATTTATTCCTGCAGAAAGGGCCTATTCAGACCACATCAGCCAAGGACTTTCAGTTAGTCTAGGGTAGGGGTAGGCAACCTTGGCTCTTTTATGATTCCTGGACTTCAATTCCCAGAATTCCTGAGCCAGCCATGCTGAGGGGAAAGGGAGAGTTTCCAAGTTGAGCCATGCTGGCTCAGGAATTCTGGGAGTTGAAGTCTACAAGTCATAAAAGAGCCAAGGTTGCCTATCCCTGGTCTAGGAGAAGAGCCTTTTCTTCCATGATCCCTTCCCTCTGGAATATCTTGCTGCCAGAAGTAAGGTCTCCCGCCTCCTCAACCTTCTGGCCTTCCAAAGGGGTCTTAAGACTTGGCTCTGCCAGTTGGCATGAGGTCCCGATAGAGATACTTTAGACTGGAAGTGGTTGGTGCAGTGACAGGAAAGGCTCTACCCCCTGCCTGCTCAAATATATGTTTTTTTAAAGTATATATAATTAATTCCTCTGTAATTTTAATTGTTCTTATATTTCTTTATAATTGTTTTTATATTACTATTTTTGTTATTAGGATAGTGAGATGGGTGGCAAATAATTTTAATAATAAATACAAAATAAATATTGTAATAATAAATGATAATAAAACCATAATAAAAATAGATCACATATTGTAAAAAACAAACAAACATGGGAAGGCACCTTTACTTTTGGGCACAGGTTGAGCCAAAAATTTCCATTGCTAAGACGGTTGTTAAGTGAATTTTGTTCCATTTTATGACCTTTCTTGCCACAGTTAATTAAATCACTGTAGTTATTAAGTTCGTAACATGGTTTTTAAGTGAATCTGGCTTCCCCATTGATTTTGCTTGTCAAAAGGTTGCAAAATGTGATCACATGACCCCAGGACATAGCAACCATCATAAATACATGTGAGTTGCCAAGTGTGCAAAATTTGATAACATGACCACAGGGATGCTGCAATGGTCATAAGTGTGAAAAGCAGATGTAAGTCACTTTTTTCAATGCCCTTGTGACTTTGAACGGTTGCTAAACGAGTAGTTGTAAGTTGAGGACTACCTGTATTATGTTTTTGGAGTGGGGTCTGTGATGCTGCTAGTGGCAAAATTGTAGGGGCAAAGTACACATTTGGATTTGTTGCAGGGTCTGGTGGCAGCGTTTCTCTTGTTTCTTATTGCTTGTGAGAATCTGCTTCAGGTTGAGTGGGTTGTGTGTATGCAAGTATGGACCTGCCACCTAGTGGTTAAGAAAATGCAGTGTCATTGTCTAAAATGGGTTCTACCTTATTAATAATATATTTGAATGGCTTGACTCCAAAATGTAGATGACATCCACAGGTGTCTTCTTGTTTCATTAATGTGATGTGTAGTTCCAGGATGTGTTAGGATGATACTGGCTGTGTACCTGACTCTTGAAAGTTTTTTCTCCATTTCAAAATAAAAACTAGAGGGAGAGAAAGAAAATGAGGCAAACCTAGGCTATTGTATTTGTTTAGCACCATCTTGTGGTATGAACGAGAAACACAAAGGCAAAAAGATTTAATGAATAGCAATAGGACAAAAAGTGATTGTTAGAAGGTGGGGAAAATGTGTTTATTTAAATATGTATTTTTCATGTTTAGTTTGCAAATATCAAAATCATGGAGCATAATATTGGCCATTACAGCAATTCTGGATTTGCATTAATAATGATTCAGAAATATGAAATTACAAAGAGAGTTAATTAAGGGAAAGCATAGGAATGTGTGCTAGGGGTTGTGGGAAGTCAGTGCCCCCAGAGAAAGAAATATTTTGGGGAATATTTAAAAGGCAGAATATATTTTCCCAAAGGAATAATAGAAAATCTTAGGCAGAAACCATTAGCCCCAAGTCTCTCTGTCCCAAGCAGAAATCAGGTCTGTACAAATGCAGATGTGATAATCTTGTCAGAAAGATTGGAGCCAGGAAGCTTGGACCTGATGGGATTAGAAAGACAAAGATCCCTAGAATCAACAATCCCTCACAGCAAAAAATCCAACACAGGTCATAGTCATCAGCCACACCCCAAGGAAGCAGGAAATGACCTTTGGACATAATAGGATTAACCCACCACCATCAGAATACCAGAAAGGCACACTCAGACTCAGGTCAAAGTTCATGCCACAGGCTTGAACTCCAAACAAAAGCTCAAGAAGGTATAAAACCCACCACTCCCTACTAGATGTGGTCAGCTTTCCCAGAGCCATGTTTCTATCTGGCTCTGCTCTTCAATAAACTACAACCTTCTTTCTAAAGCAGTCTTCATTTTGTTTATTCCCAGTTTGGACTGGACCCTGATGAATATTTTTCTTTCAACAGCATTAAAACACATTTCATAATACTATGACTTTTGTTTGGCCATAACTGCTCAAGGATCTTCAAAGGCAATTCAATGCACCACTGCCCAGAGTCACTCGATGAGGAATATGGGCAATTTCTGAATATATACAAATAAAATAAATAAATAAATCTTACTGTAATACAGATAAGAGTTGACTAAGACTTGAATATTTTAGCACCCAACTGTGTTTTGCAAGCAACTTTATACGAGTCAAGGAAGTTACAGATAGAAATCAGTGGTTGGGGGGACACATTAAACAAGTTGTCAAGCAGAGCAGGTAGTTGTATAGTACTTAAGGCACTGGTCTAGGAATGGGGAGATAGCATAGTTCAAGTCTACCTTCATTCATAGAAACTCACTGGGTCAAACTCCTTTGCTGAGCCTAAATTACTTTAGGGCAGTGGTTCTCAACCTGTGGGTCGGGACCCCATTTGGGTCGAACGACCATTTCACGGGGGTCACCAAACAATGCAGTCCGCCATTTTTTTTCCCTTTTCCTTAGCTGTGCTACTCCCTTTTATTGTATTGGCTTTTGAAAGCCAATAGAATAGACTCTCTTGAATAAAGTTTAATTCTATTGGCTTTCAAAAGCCAATAGAAATTGTCCAGGCTGTCTCTGCCCTGCTGAGCCCGCCAAAAGTCCCATTCTGCAAACGGTGCTGTACCAGTTGAGTAGTCCTCGACTTACGACCGGTTGAGTAGTCCTCGACTTACGACCGGTTGAGTAGTCCTCAACTTACGACCGGTTGGGGGTCGCAGCATTAAAAAGGTTGAGAACCACTGCTTTAGGGAATGATATTGTAAGGTAAAGTAAAGGAAAAATTCCATATTAAGTTGTTCTGAGCTTTTAGAAGCTATACGTTTTATTAGTACCAACCACAAACTTTTCCTGCTGATCTGAATCTGGTTGCTGACTATTCTACCTTTCACAGCAATGATTGGATCTTAGAGTCTGTTTTACTAGTGGCCCTTACAGTACTGGAACGCTGCCCATGGGATGAGGACCTAAAGAGCTAAGAATTTATTGTCTACTTTTTTGGTCTTCTCTGTTTTCATATTTAAGCCAATATTCCCTGGTTGTATATGTGTACATTGGGGGAAAGGGGGTGGGAAGGGCTCTGCAAAGCTTAAGGTAAAGGGGGGCAACCAAGGAAAATGATTGACAGATGGGCCACAGAAACTTGGCAAGACCCCACCCTCTCAGAAAACTGAGAGGGTTTTGGCCAGTTTTAATGTGTACTGTACAGATAGACCTCAATTTACAACCATTTGTTTAGTGATTGTTTAGAGTTAAAATAGCACTGAAAAAGTAACTTATGACCATTTTTCACACTTAATGACTTATAGCATTCCTATGTTATGTGATCAAAATTTGGGCACTTGGCAACTGGCATCTATTTATGACACCTGCACTGTCCCAGGGTCACCTGATCACTATTTGTGACCTCCCTAGCCGGCTTCTGACAAACAAAGTCAGTGGGGGTTAATGATTAGCTTAATGACTGCATGATTCACATAGTAACTACAGTGATTCACTAAACAACTGTGGCAAAACTCACTTAACAATTACGTTGCTTAACATATAAATTCTAGGCTCAATTGTGGTCATAAATCAAAGAATATCAATATTCCTTTAAGAACATATTATTACAACTTCCCATTCTTATAATGGGTACAAATGACACCAAATCAAATTGTATAATTCTTGCAGAAATACTGTTGAACATTGGCTCCTCTTGAATTCAGTTGAGGAGTGTTAAATATGTCTCATGCTAAGGCATAACACTTGTAATTAATGAGCAAAATATGAAATTATGTTATTTTTGCTTAATCTTCCTCATCCATGTGTCTTTCAACAGAATGATGATTGAACCATTTGCTGGAGATTCAATGGATTTCAATACCGACATATTTGGAAGTTTACAGGAATCATGAACAGTGGTCTAAGTCAGTCTTTCTCAAACTTGGCAACTTTTTTAAGAGGAGTGGACTTCAATTCCCCGAATATTCCAGCCAGCTGGAAATTTCAGTCCATGTCTCCTCAAGTTGCCAAGGTTCAAAAACACTGATCTAAAATGGGTTTACCAGTTATGAGAGAAAAGAATGAAACTAAGAGCCAGAGCAGGAAAAACAGAGACGAAGGTTATCCAATAGGATGGTGGCTAAGAAAGCTGGGACACTACAGGGCGTCTTCTCTGTCAACACAGATGACATCAGTATAAAAGCAACAACAGCTGGATTTATTGACCACTTGAAAATCCATTAACCAGAGGTTCATTTAATCTTTTAAGAGTGCTCTGGATTTTATTCTTTATGCTACTTTATGCTGTAATCATTATATATTCTTTAGGTTTTGTTATCGATGGGTTTACCATTTTTGTTTTTATCTTAACTGTTTGCAATACTTTAATGTTTGTGATCATGATTGCCTTTGCTGTATTAAAAGTATTATTTTTAAACAATTCAGAATGTGTAACAATTTTTTACTCAAGATGGGCACATCACGACCTTCAACCTTGTTTTTAGCATACTAGAGATTTTGAGGGTGGCACAATTGGAACCATACAATTATAGGTATAAAGCACCATAAGGCACCACGGCAATCTGCAGGAAAACTGGTTAAAACATCCATGTGAGGTGGCTGTCCAGCATCTTCTTAAAAATCTCCAGATATAGAGAACCCACAACTTCCAAAGTGTTTTGGAATTGATTGTTGAACAGATCTCACCATCAAGAAGTTACTTACATTTAAATGAACTCTAATGGTTGCAACTTATGCCCATTATTTCTGATCCTAGTTTTTGTGGCCATGCAGAAAAGTTCTTGACTGCTTTCCCCATAGCTTCATTTTATATACCTGAACAGGACTATCATGTCTCTGTTAATTCTTCTTCAGACTGTACATCCCATATTCCTTCAATGTAAGGGCATGTACTTAATTGCCTGGATTACCTTTGTTGTTATACCATGAATCCTTTCTAACTTGTCAATATCCTTCTGGAAATGGGATACCCAGAATCATATCTTCGACTCCAAGTGTGATCAAGAAGAATAATGCCTTCACACATCTTTGATACAATGCCTGTTCTAATGCAACTCAGAATTTCATTTAGCCCTTGTAGCAGTTGTCTCACACTGCTGATTCATATTCAGTTTATTATCAATGACCACACCCAAAGCCTTCTCAGATGTAGTGTTTCCAAACTTTGAGTTCTCCATTTTGTATATATGTCCTACATTTATTCTTCCTAGATGTAATACCTTACATTGTTAAGGGGCATTTGTTTGTCTTAGACTTAGCCCAATCCTCTATCCTGTCCAGATTGGAGTGCAATCTCAATCTGTTGTCTTGGGTGTTAGATAGACCTTCTAGTTTGTTGTCATTGCATTCTGGTCATTTTATGACAGTGTGGCCATTCAAAGACTGATTCATGTAAAACGGGGGTCTTCAAACTTGGCCCTTTTATGACTTGTGGACTTCAACTCCCAGAATTCCTCAGCCAGGCATGCTGGCTGAGGAATTCTGGGAGTTGAAGTCCACAAGTCATAAAAGGGCCATGTTTAAAGACCCCTGATGTAGAATCTCCAATTGGAAATAGAGTCATTAAGAGTACAATTTACTAGTGTCAGGTTTGAAAGACCAGTTTCAATTTATTGATTTATTGCTAAACAGCCTATGTACAAGAATCTTCTCAACTAACTGTCAACACTTGCTTGGAGTTAAATAAGTGTTAATGGGATCCAAGGGAGGGGAGTTGGACCTAGTCCTCTTGTGCCTACATATGGATTCTAAGCTGATTGGTCTTTTAACTGTGGCCCTAGGTCAGGGGTGGGGAACCTTGGCTCTTTTATGACTTGTGGACTTCAACTCCAAGAATTCCTGCGCCAGGCTGGCTCAGGAATTCTGGGAGTTGAAGTCCACAAGTCATAAAAGAGCCAAGGTTCCCCACCCCTGACCTAGGTTCTGCTACTCCTTCTCCTACAGCTAGATTGTCGTGGACATGACTAATTTTTCACTTTTTCCCAACAAATAGCAAGGACTACATTGCATTTGTGTTCAACTATAGGAATCAATAAAAAGGATCACTTTGTGTTTGTCTTATTCAGACTGACTTTTTCTCCTTCCCGATTTAGCCTTGTGTGCTCTCCCATCGGGCACTAACCTCGTCCAACTCAATTTAAATTGTTTCAAGATCAGCCAAGCAAATTTTTAAATGGAAGTTTGGAGTGTGACCTTTTAACTTACTTTATTTGTGGATTTATATTAACAATTGTGAATTTCAGGGCAAATGAAGCCCACATGTCATTTAAATACTTGAATAAATGAGATTTGCATTCTTCAAGAATAGATTAATGTTCCTGGAAAACTTTTCTCTCCCAAATCCAAATTTTATTCAAGCATACGAAGAAGAAGCAGAAGATCCAACACACCATCTAAAGTGTGCTATTTAGAGAAGGGAATCTTTATTATAAACCACATTCTGTTTCAAATTATGGCTGCTTTAAAAAGAAAAAGAAAAAAGTCCTATTTTCAGACATCTCTAGTAATTAGGCAAACAAACTGGTTCTTTCCAGTCAGTTGGCACTACATCTGTTAGGGCCCCTCACAGAATACAAAATAATCAGGAATTATTATGATTACAGTCCAAAATACTTGGAGAGTGTAACAAATTGTCTGTTTTTGAATTGAGATGTCTTGGTCTATGCCAGTGATGGAGAACCTTTTAGAGACTGAGTGCCCAAAAACTGGCCCCGCCCCCACTCCGCCTGCCCACAGGGCCACTCACCATCTCCAGGGCCCACCGCAGATCGCCCAGGCAGCCCAGCAGAGTCATGGTGGCCATGCCCTCTGCCCACGCCCCACAGCATCAACTGTTCATGATGGGGCATGAGGGCAGAGTCTTGTCTACACTGCCTGGCTGCCATGTCCTTGGCTGTGCTGCTCTGCATGGGCTACACTCAGGGGTGACTCTCCTCCAGGGGGACTGCTGGTGAGGAGGGGGTCACAGGGGGGAGGCAAGGCTGGGGCAACGGCACGTGTGCCCACAGAGAGGGTTCCGAGTGCTGCCTCTGGCACCTGTGCCATAGGTTCACCACCACTAGTCTCCTTTATTGATTTTTAGATTTCTAGCTAAGTAGACATACTTGAGAGGCAGTTTGGTGTAGTGGTTGACTAAACTAGAAACAGAGAGCTCTAATCCCATCTTAGGCACGAAGTTGGTTTGGTGATCTTGGATCAATCACTTTTTCTCAGCCTTAGGAAGGAGACAATGGCAAACCACCTCTGAAAAACATTGCCAAGAAGACTGCAGGAAGTTGTACAGGCAGACTTTAAAAATTGAACAGAAGTAAAAAAAAAAAAAAAAGGCATACTTAAGTATTCAGGTATATTTTATTTGTTTTGAAGAAGAGTTGGACAGTTTTCCATCTTTCAAGATCTAGTCTCTGTGCCTCACTACATAAAGAGCGTGTTCTTATTCTGAAGTCTGCATGTTTAGAATGGGAGCAGCAGTTCTGCATGCATTTACCTGGGATTAAGTTACATGGAATTTAATGAGTAAAAATATATGAGATTATATTGCTCTTTTTTTAAAAAAACATTTCCTTAATTGAGAGGGGGAAGGGTGTCTTTAGGCTGGATTCCTCAGATAATATATTGTGACCTGCTTTTCCAACTCCATTTGCAGCATCAGAAGAAGCTACTGCACCACGAATCCTACCTTCTGTATTTTTAATTCATTGTACCCAGTTGCTTTCCATCAAATGTTACAGCCTGACTCATTCAGTCATTTGGTAAATCTGAATATATAGGAGTGGCATTCCGGTTTTCTAGATCCTCTTGAGAACCTGTTGATTAAAGAGAAGAGTGACTGATTGTGTTCCTACCCAGCTGTCTCCCAGGAATTAAGAGTGACCACGTAGGAGAGGCCAAGACAATACTTCCATTGTTAAAGCTTGCCCAACTGTAACAGCAGCTTCTTAGAAGGAAACGATTGTAGTTTCTTTAGTGTTCTGTATAACATGGGAAGGATTAAAGGCCTGAACACAGAAGATGCAACATCAGCAGGTAAAAATCCAGAAGACACCCTAAAGATGGCTAAATCCCAATGCATGATCCCCTGAGCCTCTTTAAAATAGCCACCCAGAAGGTAGTAGTTATGGCTGGTCTACTTCACGTGGCAGTAATGGCCATCCCTGCAAGTTAAGATCTGAAATAACAAATCCAGATTGGCAGGACAGGACATCATGCAAGCCTCCTCTTAAATTTCCAGCCAAGTTCATATGCAAGATCAGAGCTCAGCTATGAAAAAAAAGTGCCTTTGGAAACTGGTTGTTTACAATCTAGTCAGTGTCGAAGAGAATTAAAAGATAAATAAGCAAACAAATAAATAATAACAAAGAGAAGAGCTCATATGATAGCTGTCCCAGAGGGGCTGTCCCAGAGGAGAAGGGTGGACTTATTCTCCAAGTACCTGAGAACAGGACAAGAAGTAATGGGTGGAAGTTTGTCAGAGGGAGATCCTTCCTGGAACTAAGGAGAAATTTCCTGACAGTGAAAACAATTAATCAGTGGAACATCTTGCCTCCTAGAGTTGTGGGTGCTTCATCGCTGGAGGTTTTCAAGGAGAGTCTGGACAGCCATTTGTCCAGGATAGTATAAAGTCTCCTGCTTTGGGCAGGGTATGTGTGTGAACTAGAAGACTTCCAAGGTCCTTTCCAGCCCTATGATTCTATATTTCCTTTCTTCCTGTGAAAAACCTGAGCCCCCCATCCCTTTTTTTCACATGTTTGGAACACACATGAAATATCCAATATGAATACACATTGATGAATTTTCTGGAAGAGGAATTGGATATGCATTTATTCATTCATTCATTCATTCATTCATTCATTCATTCATTCATTCAGTATGTATGTATGTATGTATGTATGTATGTATGTATGTATGTATGTATGTATTTCCACCCATCTTACTACAGGTTAACTCTGGGCGGCTTACAGTAATACACATTAAAACATAAATAAATTGGAACCAGACATTAAAAACTAATGACACGGGGGGGGGCCCAGGGGCGGAGTGGAGGGAGGTGGGATCTCTTGTTACTTGATCAACCAGCTCCACTACAATGTTCCCCCATTGGGGCACCAAGCCAACTGGCAGAGCCACAACTTGAGGCCCTTATGGAAGAAGAGGGTTGGGGCCAACCTCACATCAGGGGGGCAAGATGTTCCAGAGGCCTATGAATCAGGGTTCCATTGTAATATTTTATATTCAGAATGATTTAAAATTGCTTCGAAGATTCTATTAGGCAGGTTTTTAAGCTTTATTCTTGTGAGGCTGATGCGGTGATTGCTTTTTTCCTATGAAGTAGCTTCTGGCTGTCCCCAATCTGAAAAAGCTGTGTGGGAGGTATTCCTCTTGATCAAATCTGAAATCTAGAAAGTGGGGG